TACAAATAATACACTTTTTTGTACTGAAACATGCGCTCTCTCATACTTTTGATAAAGTTATCCATAAATCTATATTTTGTACAAATATGAAATAATGCAAAGGGTAAAACTAAGGATACAGAGTGAGTTTTTGAAACACAGTCTTGCTTATAAATGTGAAATTTGATTTACCATTTAAATGAAACATGATTTCTTTTTTGAGTGCACCGTTTGAAGTATGATCACTTTTAGAAGTATTTTTATCACGAGGAAACTAGATTAAATGCTTTGTTTTGCATAATAATTGCATTTGTACATACAAAAATATCGTGTGAGAGTCTTGTGTACCTAATTAATTCATAAAGTCTACTTTTTCTTCCCCATCACTGTTCCTGTTGTTTTCCAGTACTATTTAAATTCTATATGACATTTAACATACGTATAAAGGATCATTCGCCTTCTCAAAAAGTAAACTAAAGCATTGAAACGATAAAACATTTATCTTTTTATTTTAATTCATCTTCATGGATTTAAAATAAGCAACCAAAAATGTAATTTGTCAGAGATATCGATTTAAATATCATGACAATTTAATACATGTAAGTATCAGAATACATCTTTGCTAAACTATTTATTTTCTGATGCATAAACAACTGTATTACCATAGCTATTTTTAACTTGTAATTTAAGACTTCTTGATTTTCATGGCAACAAATTGATTGGTGTAAATGTAATTCTTCGCTACTTCCTTGTCAGTATCATTTTGCGTAACATAATCGGGTTACCAGAACTTCCCACTCCAAAAGGCAAGGCATAACAATAAACCAGACTAAGTCGAGATCGAATTAAACCAGATCGTGTTCTTTTTAAAACTTCTATCGACACCATAAAATATTTCAACGGGGAGATTGTTCAAAATTCTGTCAATGTTTATTTAAGACTTCGCAAAATAAATCTCATTAAAAAAACACATACAGTAGTTTATTGAATCGAGATGTAACACTCGAAACTTATTTGTATTGAATCATATTCAGTTCATCCATAGTTCATCAAATATTTACGATTGTTTGACATCTACGTTCCCCAATGAAACCAGCAGAGAAGGGATATCGTATCAACTAGTGTACAATGGTTATCCAGAGAGCGTCGTAATAAGAGAGTATATTTTCTTGCAAATGTTGTGACCTTTAAATTAAGCATCCCACGCAAAGGCTGGAACCAGACCTGGTACAGCTAAGAATTAGATAATAAAAATAAAAGATACTTGTTCCCTATTCTTTGTATCAATATACATGTATTACCTGTGCAAGCTTAACGCTTTGATATGTCAAGGCTTAAAAAAGAGTTTAAAGTTTATAAGCTATTTTTAAGCCCCCGTAATCGAAGATTCGGGGGCATATAGTTTTTGCCCTGTCCGTCCGTCTGTCTGTCTGTCTAGCTGTCTGTTTGTCCGCAAAAACTTGACCTTGCCCATAACTTTTGATTGACTGGAGCTATGCCTTTCATATTTCACATGTGTATTCCTTGTGACAAGACATTTCTTTGGATACCATAAAATTTGACCTTTTGACCTTGGAGTTTGATCCACTTTTGCTAATTTTTTTTCAGACTTTAACCTTGGCCATAACTTTTGAATAATTGGTGCTAGGGCTTTCAAACTTCACATGTGTATACCTTGTGACAAGACCTTCCTTTGGATACCAACAACTTTGACCCTTTGACCTTGGAATTTGACCTACTTTTGAAAGACTTTAACATTAGCCATAACTTTTGAACGTTTGGTTCTAGGGCTTTCATATTTCACATGTGGATTTCTTGTGAGAAGGCCTTTCCTTGGGCACCATTATTTTTGACCATTTGAACTTAACCTTGATGTTTGACTTACTTTTGAAAAACTTTAACCTTTTCCATATCTATTCAATGCTTGTTGCTAGGGTTTTCATATTTCACAGGTATATTTCTCGAGACAAGACCTTACTTTGGGTACCAACATATTTGATTTGCATTTGAGAAAGTTTAACCTTTGTTATGAGTTGCCATACGGGGGCAACAGTGTTTCACAAACACATCATGTTTTCCCTAAAAATTGTAATGACCGTAAAAAGACTGATTGATTGAAATTGTTTAACGCCGAGTCGGCAATATTTTAGCCATATTTCGGCGACCGCAAAAAGAAGCTTTTGATTTGGATAAGAAAATGTTTAGGCGTAAATATCAAATTTTCACCAACATGACCAAGGTATGTACAAGTTCACGAAAATTGTCCCTGTTTCAAATACACTAGTGTACCGATTTCCAGTACATTACTTGTAACTCAAGAAGTAATTTCAACCTATATATAAACAGAGGATAAAGATGCAATCCATTGTCCATTTCATAAAAAAACTTTTCTGTAAACATGATCTTAAATCACTTCGGGAATGACATTTGACTGAATTTTATTGTTTTTTCTAGTATTATGTTTGCCATTTTGTCATCATTGTAGGATATTAACAACACAACAAATCACCCTCTATTGAAAGGAACTACCAACAAAGCGGCAAATGATTTCAAAACATGCAACATGAAGGCAGCAATCAGTTGCTTTTTATATTGTTTCAACATAAAAAGGGTGTATTAAACTCAGTGTGGACAGAATCGACTGGTTTGTATTCGTTTTTGAAATTGATTTTACTTTCAGTTGATAGTCGTAACTCAATTTCATTTCTTAAAAAGCAATTAAGTAGGCTCAAGAAATAGAAATATAATATCTCTCTCTCTCTCTCTATATATATATATATATGATAACACTTACAAAAGGACTATTTATATTTCAGTGATGTCTGCACATGCACTTCATATAGTTAATTGTAACATTAAAAAGAAAATCCACCGTCAACTGAATTGTAGCCGAGGTTGACAATGGTTTTTGATTGTGAAAATTTTCTGCATTACCATCAACTACATGGAATATTTTTCATATCATACTGAATGTTTTGTACAAATACATATAGCAATGAACCTTTCTTGCGCATAAATTCTGTCAGGTGTACTCTCCAGACACAGGCAAACGGAACGTATTTCATAGAGGTTCGGTATTACTAGTATTTCAAAGCAATTGGTTTTCAGCTTTTGAATTAAACATGTAAAATTGTTAATATACATGTATAATGTTATAAAATACTTACAAAGATACAGCAAGAGCACCACCAAGCTCTTTCCATTACTTCTCACAAAAATATTAACTGCTGTAAAGGAGAAACTTCAGACGTACTGTTCAACAGCATATTCTAGAAGTGATGGAAATCAAATGTGGATTCTCAAATACTCCAAAGAACTTTTAGAAAATTCAAAAGTACAAAAGTTTTCAAAAGTTAGTAACATCAAAATGTATTACATTTCTACACTTTACACTATCATTCCTCACTTAAAAGCTAGGCTTTTTGATATCATAGACAACTGCTTCTTCAATAAAATGGAACTCAGAAATTTTCATATCTTGTGATTTGTCATCAACAAAATTAGTTAGTTAAAAATAAATCTGATTATACACACAAGTATTCTGAAGTTGATAATAAAAGGAATCTGAAGTTCCTCATTGACAACAGTTAATATAGTCTTTGGAGACCAGGTCTTCCAACAAGCTGTTCAAATACCGATGGACACTAATTGTGCTCCTTTATTAGCCAACCTGGTTTTATATTCCTATGTCCATTCATATGTCGACTTGATATATCTCATTGAACTCAAAATAAAAAAGACACCCAAGAGTCTGTTTCATCTTTGGATATTTTTACTGATTATGGACGATAAGGGCCAACAAACAACTATACTGTAAGACAAACAACATCACTTCAGCTTTTCCATTGTCAACTTTCTTGATTTAAATAGTAATATTCCGCTATCACCTAATCACCATATACAGGTGATAGCGGAATATTACTAAAGTTAATATTACAAGGATTTCAACAGCCTCATTTAAAGTCAGCATTACGTAAATTTTATGGTGTTTTAATGACCTTGCTAGCAAATACCGGTATAACCTATCATTGGGTCGTTATTTGATTGACATATTTCATTCCAACCGTTATATCCTTGTTTTTAAAGTAAATTTGACCAACGGAATACTATTATGTATGTACGTATACATAGGGCTTACGGCGGGTGTGACCGGTGGGTACGGGATGCTTACTTCTCCTAGGCACCTGAACCAGCTCTGGAATTCCAAGTGTTCCGTGTTTTATGCCCTGTTCACAGAATTGTATTCTTTGTAGGTTTTTTGAGATCGATCACTTTCTTTATCTTCACCGTTCTCATTACTGGTATTTAGCTTTACTGAGTATTTCTACGTATGATTTATGACAAATAATAGGTAAAGATACATTGTCATTAACCTTTACTTAAATAGTCTTTCAATTTTAAAAAAAATCTCCATTCACGGTAGCAAATACAAAAAAAAAAATAAATAAAAAAAATAAAAAAAATAAAAAAAAAACAAGGAATAATAAACATTAAATAAATGGGGAACAAGTGAACCATACTGATCTTGATACAGATTGTAAGTCTTTTAATAACAGAACCATTAAGCATGAGAAATAATGAAATGATAAATGAATCTCTACAACAACCAATAGCTCATCTTAGCGCATCTTACGTTTCATTAATATCACGTGACAATCAATTTTGAATGTAACTTGGCTTTTTTACGACACCCCACCCCTTCAACTGGCTCTAACACTTCTGCTTTTTGTATATCGGGATAATCTTCTCTCTTGTAATACGATGTGTTATCTTTTACTTTGACGCTCACTATCCTGTGTTGATGTTTTACTGTCTGACAAAAACTCTTGCTGTTGCTGAAAATATTAGTTTTGCTGACCTTTTTTATCTTTAAATTTTTATATAAGTTCTATATTTACGATAAAAGAAACAAAATTCCTATCGCCTTCTCTGCGGTTTGACAGTATGTAAACATTTAAGATACACAAACCCTTCATTCCACATAAACGTGAATAAACAGCATGTTTGTGAAAACAGTAATCATTTCACTTTCCCTTCAGTGTGGAAGCTTAACTTTAATTCATTCGATAAATTGATTATTTTTTTTTTACCCCCGTTCCTTAAAATCAATAATTTACAAAACAAAAAGAGATGCGTTCTTTACAGTAAAATAATCCCTGAATGTTTGGAAAAATCACGTGACTTTCAATGACTATACAGCAGCAGTCTGTGAATCTAATCAATATACGGTGTATACAATACTTGCTTGTACTGGGTGTAGATCAGTAGGGAGGAGATGGATTTACTACTATGTTTTCCCAATATGAAACACCGATAACTTGTTCAGAGGTAAGCTCATAATATTCTCTTGAGAATGCAAAAGAAAAAAAAAACTTTATTCTTACAACTGTTTGATTGATGCAGAATCCGTTCTGTACATATAAAATGTCATAATTCATTTCCTTTCTTTTTCAAAATTCTGATCAAAGTTTTTTTTTTCCTATTACTTATATTATGAGTTTGTTCCTATTCTGATTTGAGTTCAGTGTGAATGAACAAATATATTTTCCTAAATTGCATATTTTACTCAGTAACCCGTATCATTTTGACATATTATTTTGCAAAGTATTTTAAAACACCATGTATAAAAGATGCATATGAAACTTCCAATAATAATATTAATTAACTTCTGAAAAACTTTATCTCCACTCCATATTACACTTTCGGAGAATGAAAAAAGGAAATTTGAACCTCACATATGAAATTTTATTAAAAAACTTATTACACCAAAGCCATCTGATACTGTTATTTTATTTAAAAATTCTTTAATATCTGGAATTCAGTGTGGGTACTTAGGTATTTTTATACATTTTCTTTTTTCAAAAAAAAAAAAAAAAAAAAAAAAAAAAAAAAAAAAAAAATCTTAGGTGCGTTCAGAATTTCATGTTGCGAAAAGATATTGATGTGACGGGGAGTTGCTATTAAATATGTAGCAAGCACCAATAAAATTGACAGGATCGTGAATTTAAAAAAAATTACAAAGTATCGATAAATAGAACAAAGAAGCTTTCCATACGTCGACTGAAAGAAAAATTTCCATTTCTATATTTAAAAAAAGGTTGATATTAGAGTTTCTTATGCAATGTGTTCCACAATTTCAGAGAAAAATAGAAATTTTATCCCTACCAACCCTTTCTCCAAATCACGTTGAAACATGCAACCAAGTTATCAAATCTCAGTTTCATCATCCTGTTTCTTCTCGATATTAAAGAAAACTATATGTATACTAAATATATTTTCTGTAATTTTCCTAGTCACATTTTAAATAACATTGCACTTCAAAGCTTTTTTGACTATTTGATATGAAAGAAAATTATACCAAATATATTTTCTGTAATTTTCTAACACACATATTATTTGTATTTTTTTGGCTGTTTTGCAGTACTCTCACAATATATAATTGCCAGAAATTAAACTTAAGTTTCGGTATGGCACTAAGCATATAATATGCTTTATAACCCCTTCTTCAGGTTTGTTTGGCGGATTCTCCCGTGCCAAACACAACCCTTACTATTAAATATGTTTTTTTTTTACTTTGTACTGGAAGTCTGTAAATTTAGAATGTAACCAAAAATTCTTCGTTCACCTGATTTGCCCTGTGGACATTTGATCTCTTCTCCATCTTCATGTATATACGTTTTATTGTTGACTGTTTATCTTTTCGCCTCTTTCGTGTAATGGGAAATAATATTAAATCCAAGATAATGATCATTTATGGCTATCATTATTTCATTTAGAAAGGGGAAAATTTCATTGTGTCCGCGGTTAGGCCTTGTTCGTGGTGCCTTGATGTTGCTACGTTGGAACATACATCGCCATATCTAATTGTAAAAATGTGCGTTGTAGTGTTTTATTATGTTTGTTTTATTGATTCAACGGTCTATTCGTTTAATTATAACATTTTCAACAGCTGATACAAGATATCTATTTTGATTTATATGCTTTGTTCAAAATTATTGTTACCAATCAGGGAAGAGATAAAAGAGCTAACTGACTTGTTTAGTCCGTTCATCTTAACATGAAATCATCTGAGAGCTTAGAAATTCTGTCTGCCGAGGTAAAAAACAAATCTTATGGTAGACATGCCAATTTCCTTCTAACAACTTTCTTTTAATACGTTAATATACTATTTATTATATTGTTAAGGAGAAATTAAGGAAAATTCAATGATTAATTAACCTCTTTAGAAACTTTTTCCTTCACTTTGGTTTCAGAGAGAGAGAGTTCAAGGCTCAGGTTTTTTTATCGCTCACGTATCAGATCAGTCAAAGACATGGAAAACATAAAACAGCCATTGTTTATTTCTTGTGGCAGGAAATCGGTTAATTCCAAAAATAATGAAAACAGAGGATAATGAAAGATTTCTTTGCTGTTATCAAAGAAATTGGTCATGCACTTTTTAAAGAAGTCATACAGCATTCTGGAAAAACTCATAAAAAATGATTTAATAAAATGGAATTTCATAAATAATGAAAACGAATTGTTGTCATTTCAATTTTCAATCAACCCAAAATCAAAATTATGATGATGAGCCTTTCTAACAAATGTTATCAAAAGCCTCTATGCTGTTGTTTTGAATATGATGGGAATAAGAGTTTGATTTAAATTCTGATCTAATACATGTGCATAAAGTGAAAGAAAGGGAAAAAAACAGCAAAAATTATTTTTGACTGAATATGCGAAAATAAAGTGTCAATGCCCTTTTGGAAAATAAGATGGAGTTATTCAATAATCTTCTTTTAGAAAAAGTAAACTGAGATTAATAAAATCTATAAATCCTCTCATTCCATGACGAATATACTAATGTAGTAATTCTTACGCCTCCTATTGGCTTTATTTCATGTGTTGGGTTTACCTATATTTAGAAACATCTATTCACGTTATGTGAAACGCTACTGGTTGCACAACTATGCAGTCACACAATCCATTAACATGGAATGAAATCAAAGTACTGATACAGTACTGAAAGACGGAGTCAAAATAAAGTCCCTAATTTTACAAATTTCATTACTGGGGAAAAATTTAGGGTTGTGATAAACTTCAACTTTAAAATTTTCAGACATCTAAGATTTACATACACTTAATATATATATATATATATATATATATATATATATATATATATATATATATATATATATATATATATATATATATATATATATATATATATATATATCTTCACAATTTTCATTCACTCTGTAATAGATTAATCAGTTATCAGTCAAGAATTGTTTTGTCAGAATTTCACAGGGTCCGAATTGACATGACATTTCCGGAAGTAACAAGCAATGACGCGTACGCAGTCTAATATTACGCAGGCGAGAAAATTGTATACTAGTGTGGTTCAATATAATGTTTTTCAAAATGCTTTCTTTAACTTGTGTAAGAAAATCTTCATATTACTTTACTTGGTTTGGTCCAGTATGTTTGTATTTTGATCAAAACAATTTCTGCACTCTTTCATTTAGCGTAGATTCAATTCATATGATATACGTACGGCTTCCGTTTTGAGACCTCGACTGAACAGAACACTAATAAATGGGGTCACGTGACCCCGTCTAAAAAGTCATTTTTACGAATGGTACATGTATTTACAAATTTTATATTACTGACCTGACAAAGCAATGTCAGAGAGGATTTATGAAATGCTCAAAAACTGTGTTAGAAATGAATCTGTGATTTGTTTTTCTCTCTATTTTTCCCATTTTACTTCAAACAATATATAGACTGCGCATAACGTTCAGGATTCAAATGTTTCATGATGCCTGGTAAGAGATTTACATTTATATATACGTACAGTGTATGTTGGTTAATTTCCATGTTTAGTTGTGCTTTTGGAGAGCGATTAAGAACTGCATACGTTATTGATCTCTGGTACTTCACTTTTGTCGATAACATTTACTATTAGATTGGATGTATACAGAGAGAGAGAGAGAGAGAGAGAGAGAGAGAGAGAGAATTCACATATTTTCAGTAGCAGATGTCATTACACTGGGTTGTTTTTAGACTGAATTAACAAAGATCTTCCACGTTTCCGCGACTATTTTTAATATACATCAACACGTGCGAACACCTACACTTATTAACCGTTAACGCCGTTATCATTGGTTGATATTCTTATAATCTTTGAACGGTGAGTCGGAAATAGAAACAATTAAGGTTGAAATCTAATAAGCGTTCAAAGATTTTCCGAAGATGTAGCAAAATATATTTTAGCATCATGTATTATCCAAAGAAAAAAAATATTGCTACCTGAATGAAAAAAACCCGATGTCTTGTCATCATTGTTGAAATCGTAGACAACATTGTCCAGCATTTTATACACTGTAAATTAGATTCCTTAAAAGTTAATAATTGTGACTTCGACTACAATGTTTCCAGAATTATTGTCCTCAGATTACCCACGGGAATCACGGGATCGATTGAAACGAATCTTGACTGCGGAACCAAGAACAGGTTTCCCTTGATGTTTTACTTTTCTCTAGATTAATTTTAGCACTGAATCTCTACTGCTTGAGTTATTTCAAAGAGAAAATAATGAATTTTCAGAGTCTTGCGGCAAGTTTGCGCCGAGCTCAACAGATCGAATCTAATGGTATATGCCTGAGTGCGTACATAAAAACAGGCATCGCCTTGCAGGTGGAACAATGTCTTATCTATTTAGAGAGATCATTCATGGTTAAATATAACGAACCTGTAGTGCTTACAAAAAAACTAAAGGACATCCTCCGTTGTTGTGCAAGGATGCAGGCAATATATACTGATTGAAGTTTTACGCATGGGCAACCTGCCATAATTATGAATGTTGTAACTAATTAAGGAAAAACATGTTTTAGCAACAGACGTAGCATAAATGCACCATACATAACTTTGATTTTCCTTTGCACTTCAGTTTCTTATGAAATAGAAATGGTTTAAGCTCATTTACTGATAACTTATCAATTTTGAATTGATTTTTATTGTAGCTACAACTTGAGAACATCTGAATTTCAAACGTCAACGCAGATTCTGGTGGCTGCAGTCCTTGGTGTTTCAAAATGAGCCAAACGAGTGAATTATTGTCGGATGACGATACGGCCAGTGGAGTGACTTTTTCGGATAAGGACATGGAACGTGGAAAGTTTGAAAGACAGCACACGGAAATGTCCGAATTATCAGACGATAGTTTTTTGACTTATCAACCACTCATTCCAAATGATAACCGCCAGGATGCGGCACTTGATGAAAACCAAGTGGTTAATAATGGAGAAATTCAGTGCAGTTGTGATAGTTGCCGCGAGGAGTCCCTTCAAACGATGTATGAAAACCAACAAATGATTGCAGATGATGGAGAGTGCATGTGTGATAATTGTGTAAAATCTAGACAATATATTAGATATCATAGAAACCAAGGTCATTGGCAAACACAAGGTCACTGGACTGGTATCAGTATTTCTGATGACGACATAGAAATCATCACAGATTCAGATTACTATCACGATAAAAACGTCTTCTATATTGACCCTTCAGTTGCTAGAAGTTTATTGAGTGAATTTTTAGTGAGAGAAAATCCACAAAGAGCCAATTTGCAAATTCACGTGGACTCTCGAACCAAACGACAGAAGTTTGTGGCGCGTGCTGTGATGATCGTTTCCATGACGATGTTTACGGTCAGTGCCCTCCTTGTGATGGTCTCCCTCATTATGTCCGACAAGATTGATGATCTCGGTAGGTTATTTGCACTTTGTATCTTGTCAAATATTTCATAAACCCGTAGAAACCTAGTATGTATTTTAGATACATAAAACCTCATTTAAAATAAGAAACCATTTGAATTCCGCTAATAGCCTCTAATGATGTATGACCGTTCATTTGCATTAGTGTGCAAAATGAAGCCTGTAAATTACAGAACTGCATTGTTAGTAAGCATTTGTAATATAACAACGCACATATAAAATGCATAGGTAAAAAATAATAGCAGCTACATTTAGTGGGTAGTAAGAATTATAGAAGTAATCTTTCTAGCTATCGTCATTTTGAATACAAATTCCTGCCATAAGGAGATTAAAACTCAGTTATCCGGGATTCTGGCGCTACAAGAGATTATGCTTTACTAAAAAAGTATCGTAAAACGTCATCGATGACGTTAGTTAGATTAAAATTGCATTTATTGATAGAATCATGGAAGAATTATAAGATATTGTATAATTTTTAGTGAGAGGAAACAACAATCTCCTACAGAAGCACGTGCTTCCGAGCACCCCGGCCTCAGCTGAGGTTAACCTTACTGACGTCATTACCAACCTCACGGCGGGACACGGATGACGAACGTCGACAGAGGACCAACACAAATTTTAACATTCCAGTGCACTGCAATGCATTCCAGTTGTTTAAAGTAACATGCATGGAGATCTAGAGCTCTTTGCTTGAGTCTTCATTTCCGACTCTGAGGTAATTTGACGGTACGTGCATTGGGCCAACATGTATGTGGCAGAAGGATATTATTTACCCAAAACATGATGTAACACTGTGAATGATTTTTTTTTTCACTTTGAGAATCGGAATGAGAACGTACAGGCAAGTCATCGGAAGACTCCACAGTTTTGATCGTGGAGTAACATTGTAGAAATATTGAAATACCATCACACTGATTAGAAAGCAGCTTGTAATCGGCATACGAATATGATTACTTTTCATACATTTTTGAGATTAGTCAGTATAGAGTATCAACTTTTATTTACTTTTATTACACCAATTTGTCTGAACTGCATCAATCATCGATGTACTTCGTTATATGTTGACTTTGCTGTTGAGTATGACAAATTCATATGACTGAGAGCGAATAATCTCAATTGTCCATCATTAAGCACGACATTGTTTGTTATGAACTTAATTTTTGTTTGAATAAAAAAAATAAGCAAACTATAGTTTCTTTTGATGCAGTTTTTGTTCAAGTAGTACATGTGTAGTTTTGTTTGTTTTGACAACGAATTACTGACTCTTGCTTTGCATACAGTGTATTTTATGTACAGAATCAATAAATTTTTGTATGTATCGATGGACAACTTTATACAGAGTAGCACTATTCACTCCTTTTTTTATTTGTAGAATTTTTAAGATATTAAATTTCAAGTGTGATATATGATTGCATGGTACATGTTTTATACCCCCTTTGTACATGTGGTTGATTTTTCATCGATCTCAATTTTAAAATGACAAAACTTTTATCCACCGTCTTACTAAGGGGTGCTATAAGAATTTGATCCTTTTTTGCAAAAGTAGAAGCTTTCATGGCGAGTTTCCTTTTGAGCATTTTTAATTACATTTTTATTACATTGGATTTTTGATCTATTGTGTAAAAACGCAGGTAAGCATTTATTAAAATTACATTTTTGACTTGCCGACATGGGATAAAGGATACCATAAAGAATTATCAGTTATGAAAAATTCAATATTTCTGATTGAATTATTGGAATGAACTTATATTTATTAATTTAAAGAAAGGAAACGGATGGAAGAGAAATTTTGTGAATGGATCGATTAAAAAAAGTCAAGACATCAGATTCATTATTTCACGTTATTATCTGGCTAGAATTGCAAGCTAACAAATTATCAAACTAATTTCGACAAATTTTATGAGGAAAAAGGACTATTACTAAGAGGTAAATGTACAGAACTCATTGAATTCTCTATTGTATTAGTTCTGTATTAGTTAACACTTATAGCTCTCATAATTAGATTTGGATCCACTTCAAGATTAATCGATTTCTTTTGAAATTCCTATACGAGCATTGTTGTTTTAAAGCTTTTTATATTTTGTATTTTCTTCTTTCAGTTTTTGATATTCCCTCAAAATATCCAGGCTTAATTGATGTGGTTCTTATTTAAACATCAAAGTAGAAAGAATAGAAAAAAAAGTTTTAAAGATGCGTAATGGGGAGCTTTTCATAATTATTATTTTTGGACAAAGTTGTAAAGATAAAAGGATTATGAATGTGTTTGTATGTATAAATTGACTTTTATTCCCTAAAAGTATCTCTTTTGTTCCAACAGAAAAAATATCCGGAAAAGATTCAAATACAGCTTCAAAATATTGCCCAGTAGAAACTTTCAACAATCATCAATTTCATGAAAATTTTACTGATTCTACTGTTATGCGATCTTGGATGTGCTTGAAGATGATGTTTGCAATCAATTCTCTAACAATAAATATGATATTCTTTTATTTGTTATCGATTCTTATTTATTGAGTTTTAAGCTTTCTGTGACGAAGTTATCAAATAACTAAGGTTGTTTAGAATCATAGAATGTGTGAATTTTAACATAAAATCAGACTCAAAATTCAAAAGATGCAACAATTATATTCTCTACCTATCATCAATATCATTACTTTTCTCAATTTCTCAAAATTTTCAATTATTATATAGCAGTATGATTCAACATTTTTATGTTGGACCTTAGGAAACAGAATAACATATGTTCTATAAAAAATATGTATACTTCGTATGTTTTACTGCATCGTACAATGCGAAAAAAATAATCTTTGATCATTAATTTTTACATTCTCTGACCACTGAATAGTTTAAAAGTTAAAATTTAACCGATTTTGTCAATTAATTTATGTACATAGAAAGTTACATTTGGTAGAATGTTAAAACATGCCTATGTTAATAGACAATTCACAACAGAGGATTATGGGTTAAAAAAATCAGCATGTGTGGGAAGCAAGGCTCAATTACAATTCACAGCATCCACTGTCACTCCGAGTCTATTACTAAAATTAAATTGAGATAAAAATACATATATACAGGGATTTTGCTGCTTGATCTTATTAACTTGCATGAAAAACTCCAGATTTTGATATCAAACTCTGGTAAATATCAACGTTGGCGTTTAGATGCAACAAATGATAAACAAGCAATTGGATGTATTGGGAATGTACAAATGGGATACATTAAGAAAAAGATCGACTCTTATTCCAGGCGTCTGTGCATCCTACGTACATTGACAACTGTACACAAATATATAATGCATAAATATATATTGGAACAACATATAATAGTGGATATGACAGTTTAGAAAGATGCTATTAATATCCCATTGATCTGTTGGGTTTGCAACAGGGTGTGAATTGTTCACGATCAAAATATGTTGCTATGCTGTAATATCTACCAACTGCGTCATCATTCTGTTGTGTTAAATTTTTTCAGGCAGCTGTAAGAGAAATAATACCATAAATAGACTTCTTACTTACAAGGATGGGCTAAAATAAGCTATTTAGATTACCCGTAGAACGTGACGTACATGTGTATTGGTTTCTAGACCAGAAAGAACTGTTTCAAGGAAGATCAAAGGAGAGCAGTTAATAGTAGTGTACTTAATATAGCCCTTTATCTGAAGCATTCAAATCCACAAAGCATAATAAAATATTTTAGCTTGCCACCTTAATTACAGAGCCCTATCTTTCATCAGCATCAACAAACCAAGGCCAGTGATAAATAATGTCTACGACTCTAGTAGAAAGCTATCGGATTCACACTCTTCAATAATCATAGCGATACGACTGTTTTCCTATCTAATTATTATGTAATCAATTACCTTGCAAGGAAAAAATCAATTAAAGTAATTGAAAAAATTGATCTAAGTATTGTAAACCTATCTTGTAATGACGAGTCAAAATGTTTTTTTTTTTCAGAGACTTCACAAATATTGAATATTGGAATGGTAATTTCCTTTAAATGATCGCTTTTGATAGTTTCAACTATACAACAAAAGACCTGTTTTCTATGCAAAACATTAATACCCCGTTAAAGAAGGTACGATTTTGGATTTATTATGCCCTAAAAAATTGATATTTTCAAAACTTTTGAAATTTGCTGATAATAAATATAAGTTGAATATACAAATGTGATAAATCATGAAAGAATTTGCCATAAAGGAGGACCGTTCTGCAAATATGACGCCATAAATTTGTCACATTTCTAAGTATGAAACAGAAAAAGCCTCAAAATGACTGATTGAAGGGGTTATTTTCCTCAAGATAAAGTGTCCACAGCTGTCGCCCACTTAAATTTTCGGATATATCATGTAAAAATCTCTGAGAAATCAGGCAGGACGTAAAACAACAATCAATCAATCAATCTTTTTGAAACCCATATGTGAATGGTAAGAAATGAGGTTTCCTTTGCATGTTCACTCCTACGACAGAAATCACTATTGCAGAAATCTTTATTTCACTTTAGGAATGAATTTAATAGCTACCTAATTTATACTGTACGCGTATAAACAGAGTTGGGGCAGTTTACGCTTTATAAACAGCGAAGCGTATAAATTGGGTAGCTATTAATAAATTCATTCCTTATAATTTGATTTATCATACATTTAGTGCAAGTAAATAAGAGGATTGTCTTAAAAAATGACTTCAAATTTTGTAACGTCAGACGGATCGATGCGTTTCTGGACGCAAGCCATTGTGACGTACAATGTAGTTTATACAACATAAAGTATTCTTTTTTTATCCAATCAAATAGCGCATTACAATGTACAACCAAAATTAAATTTTTATTACATAAATGAAATCAGTCTTCAATTCTATAAAGAGCGGACATTTTGCATGATTTCCATTTAGAAATTACAATTAAACATTAAATATTTTATTTCTTGACATTAAAGTTCATCAAATGCATCTTATCTTCATTCAGTTGTCTTCGTCTTTGCCAAGATATTGAAACAGTGAACTGGCAAAATCTTTCATTACGATAAAAATAAATTATATATCTTTAATTTACAATGTTACAACACGTTACAGATATAATGATTAAAATATAAAAAAAGAAACAGAACTGTTTACTACTGTAAAGCTGTTTGAACTCTACCATGAGGTGCAATTACTAAACTCATAGTACTTGAGAAATCCCGTATATGTGTATGTGATGTCCTCAAATTACAGAGCATATTGTAGGTAATCAGACAGCCAACAGACACGAGTGTACGAGTTGATTAGGAATTGCAGTGAAGAATAAACAAATTTCAAGATACTAGGAACACGCTAATTAAGTAACTCTTACATATGTATTTATGCTTCTCTACCATTTTTCTGTGTGTTATCCTTGTGTAGCCAATGTTTTAAATATTGCAATTTGAAGAATAAAGTTACACGAAAATAATTATCAGAATTTAAATTACCCTTTTCCATCATCAACTTTTTATCTTATTAATTATCTAATTTAAAAATGAAATTTGGTGTGATAATTAAATATTCACCCGAAAACCTCTGAGGTTAATACCCTTTCTGCGTGAAGCTGATATATTTCTTTGCAAGTTTATTTCTGTTAAGACAGAGCAATATTGAGAGCCATAATTGACAAGTTTTGAAATAAAATCTTCAAGTATTGTTTGAACGCTAGACGTTATAAGGATAAGTGGCTTATTTTATGAGAACTATGACCGTAAGCTTAGTAGACATTTACTGTTGCAGTCTAATATCATTGTCTAGAGCTTGGGAAGTGTTCCACTAGGGGTGACCTGATTTGTCTACTTAGATTAAGAGTCTTAGATTGTTGCTTCTATTTCTAGAAAAGAGGGTGTTCTAAGCAAGCTTATCTAACAAAAGGTCGATGTTCTTTTATACATATGGTTTGTTAGATCTATCTTTATTTTTGAACCTGCTACTTTCAGTGCTCTGAAGTAAAACACGATTAAATGTGTTCTTGAGGTAGTTTTTGTTGTAATTTTACCAGTTCAACGAATGCTTGTGTACACACACGATAATCCTTCCTCATTTTTCAAAGAGAACGTACATGTATTTAAAATGATCTTCGTGTTTTAATCGACTGTGTGAGGACTGAGGATGTAACGCTTTCAGCGTGCCTCGGCTTTTTTCTGTCTAAAAGTTAAAAGAAACCCCACCATATCGTTAATAGTAAATTAGCCTTTCTTCACTGTGCATGTAGATTAAGTGTATATATATTATATTATTGCAACGAAAAGCAATAATATAAAATTGTGATTTAATGTTTTTCTACTAGAAAATAAGATATTTGAAAATAACAAAATTTTATTTGAAAGATGAATTTGAGAATTTGGAACAATGCTAAATTTGACTTCACAACTTGGCCACATGTACATGTGCCTGCTGAATCTATGAACTACTAATATGCTTGCAAACAAGATATTACAGTTATGAGACACAGGGTCACGCCAAAGGTCAACATTGCTTTAGAATGACCTATACGCTAATAAATTAATAAAGCTAGACGCCAGAAGGTACAACATTACATTAGAATGATCTATGCTTATTAACCTAGGACAATTTTCATCTTATAGGAATCTTTCATTCAATCTTTCATTAGGCCTAGGTTGAATGTGTTAAAAAGATAATTCATAAAGCGTTCAATTTTAACTAATTATATCAAAAAAAGAGAGATAGAAAAAATGCAAACAACATAGCCAATTATAGTAAAATAAAATATAATATTTAGAGACAGGCAGGGGCTTAACCCCTTTTGCTCTATCATAGAATAAAAAGAAAGTTCAACCAGTAAATCAATGCCGAAGCTAGCTACTGTTAAGTTTGAACTGAGTTCATCCACCATGACGTACAATGTAGCAGAAAATCATTACCGATATCTTTTTATTGGCAATAAGGTACAATGTAAATGGCATAATCATTCTTTGATATGTTTATCAAAAAAAGTCGTCCCAAAGGACCATTGTCCCAACTAGAGTAAAATGGGTTCGCCAATAAAACCGATAAACCAATGTACTCTACGATATTGTTTTCTTTTTATAAAAAAGTTAAACGGTGTTTATTCATTGCTCATGCATAAAATGAGCGTTTTCAATTCTCAAAAAGTGATATCCTTTAGAAAAAAAAAAAAAAAAAAAAAAAAAAAAAAAAAAAAAACAACTCCTCTTCTAGAAATGAAACCATAGTATTATGTTCTTGAAGACTCGAAATATGTATTTAAAAAAAGCTTTGTACATAATACTTGTATTGTTGATAGTAATTTAATCTTACCTAATGTAATCCTTCATGCTATGTAAAACATCTGTTGATGGAAGTTTGTTTGTTTGTTTGTTGTTTGTTGTTTGTTGTTTTATGTCCCTCTCGAGAATTTTTCACTCATATGGAGACGCCACCACTTACCGGTGTAGGGCTGCAAAATTATACCTATACTCGGCACTCAGGGCCATTGAGCAGTGAGGGATCTTTATCGTGCCAAC